CAGATCTTTGACAGTACTACGTAAAAGACTATCTAATGGATCCAGACACCGATTTTAGTAGTCTGGACGTGGACCGGTGTTTGGCAAGACACTATACCAACCAGGCCGCCGGATGAGTAACCGGAGGAAAAGGACCCAACCGTGGGGACCAGGAGCAGGTCACAGCCTCTTTGGGCTATCTGGATTGGGAGTTTAGGTTACTAACAGAACTTAGGTACTGGTGATAGTCTGTAAAGTGTGTGCTGGGGTTTGGGTGAACTCTGCAAGGGCAGAAGTAGTTAATGATAACGGCTTTGGCTCGCAAATACTTGTTCTCGGACTTGGCGTAAGTTACCGAAGTCTAGGTTAGCCGGATTGTGGGTATGGAAAGCTCTAGCTAACGATGCCTTGAGGATAAATTAGTCCTAAGGGTATCAGAAAAGCATCTGGGATGTTTTATGACAGGTAATTGTGGTGGGGATATACCAGTGATACAAGCTGGGTCTGCATGTAAATGTACCGGAGTTCCATAAGCGAGCCCCTTACTTATAAACTTGAATAAAAACTGTAGTCCCAAAGAGGCTAGTTATAAAAAAAATAAATAAATAAATATATGATGTCTTTATAGCAGTTGTATAATGTTTTTATAATAATTGTGTAGTATCTCTACAAGTTGTATAGTGTCTTTATAATGATTGTGTAATGTTTTATAGTGATTATAGTGTCACTATAACTTGTATAGTGTATTTACAGCTTGTGTGATATCTCACAGCTTATGTAGTATTATATATTTATAATAAATTAATAAAAAATTTTAATAAAACAATAAATTAAAATAACTAAATTTTATTAAAAAAAATACAAAATATCATATTTATTACTATATATACAGTATATTTAAATATCAAATTAAAATTAAACCTAAATTTATATATTTTAATTTTGGTTTATAATTTTTTATTCTAATTGATAGTTTTAATTTTACTATGTCAAAATATATAGTTAAAATAAAAAAATATACAAATATATAATAGCGATAGTTTTAATCAAAGGTCAGTATATATCTCGTGTTTTGTTAAATACGAAGAATTTTTTTATTAAAACAAGGAGTAATATAGAATGATTACCTAATTTCTATTGTGTATTTATACTTATAAATTGGTAAAAAGCTTGAGTTTATTTACTATAAAGTTCATATATTTATGTGTATATATGTGCATTATTCAAACTTGAGGCGTGGCACGCTCAATGACCAGGCATTATCGCATTTATCGAATGTCAGCACTCACAGACATTTCATCACAAAATGCAGCATTTAGGATAAAAGCCATTCTAAATTGTACGAATTTCGGCACCCACAGACATTTAATCACAAAATGCAACAATTAGGATAAAAGTCGATTTTAATTGTACGAATTTCGGCACCCACAGACATTTCATCACAAAATGCATTTATACACATGTTTAATTAAATAGAAGGTGTGCTTAAGTTTCGATACTCATATGAAGAAGATAAACAATAGTTTTGATTGTCTAATCCTGTCATTTCGATTTTACATAAACCTTGTTTATTGCGATGCGTTGTGCGCCCCTTGCTGTTATTTGCATCATTACTGACAAGCACGATAATTATTTATAATTATTTCACATTTGAATGAACTTTGGTATCGCTTAACAAGACAATTTCTCCGCGAGTGGCTACAAATTTTCCATGAACAATCATTGTTCGATTTAGATACTTTTTTCCAAACATGCATATTAAATTTTCGATATAACCAATCTATTTTCAGTTGTTTTACAAATTACTCAAGAACAACCGATGATTGGTTTAAAAAAAAATTCCGTGAGTATGTAATTAGGCAAGCAAATTGGCGTAATTTATATAGCAACTGCATGTAAGTGTACTTTTAACTATGAAATACATAAACTCTATAGGAATTGTCGAACTTTAAACAATGGGTCTTTGACAATTATCGCTATGCAAAGGAAAATAGATTTTACAAGATACCGGAAAGGAACCGGTTCATCACGTAAGTAATGATAACGCAATTATACGTACTTCACAAACATATGCGTACTATATTTATTACGTATCAGATTACATCGATATTGATATAGACAATGATAATTTCAGTGGAGGATCGGCAAAAAAAAAAAGAAATTTACCAAAGCAGGAATTCAGAAGCGTTGCTTATTACATGACATGAGTGTCAAACACTATGTAAACTGTGGGGGGAGGCATTAAAGAATCGAGCAAAACTTTTGTGTAATATTGCGGAGAAAGGAAAATCGTTAGACCGATTTAAAAGTTATTATTCGGAATTGATTTTCGGCTTAAAATGAAAGTACATTAATGTATGCGTTTCTCGAATTGTCCTTATATAAAACCTTAAATTAGTCAAATCTATCATAATTTTTCCAACCAATTATCTACATTAATCAATGTGAATTCCGGCAATCATGGAAATCGCGGAAATCTCGAAAATCACACTTTTTAAATACTAAAGCAGGTCAAAAGAGACCTGATAAACAATCATTATTGATGCTGAAACACAAACACAGGAAAAATCTACCATATGGCAAAAGTCCATTGTTTAGACAATTAAATGCGATACACTATTAATATTTTGACTTATTTCGTGATTTAACATAGTTGGTATATTAATTGATTATTGACTAGATTTAGCAGGCGGGATGATATCTTAACAATATTAACAGGTGAATTTATGACAGACAGGTGGCTGTAAATGCTGCAGCATCGGCTTAACTATTCGTGTTAACGTTTAATATTATGATTTGTAGATACAAATTGTAGATCTGCAAAAGCATGCAGATTTGAAAGTGGCTAATGTGGAGGAAGCCAATCAATTTATGAAATTAATTATTTTCAGGTGTGATTTGCAGTGTCATACGTAATTTATATGACTAAATGTAAGAATGGATATTCTTTTGAAGAAACAATATGAATGTTGAAATAATATTGTTCACCGCATCCGGTATGGTGGCGAGTTTCTTTGCGTAAACGTTTATATCAATATTGTAAAACTATCATATGCATTTACTCGTGTAATTTCCATACTAGTATCAAGGTTTATTTATATCCTACTTTAGCCATGACATAACGATAACGATAACTTCAATTACAGAATTATATAATTAGCATATATACTTTGATATTATATATATATGCTATTATATTTTTTAGAAATTAGATTAATATATTATATACTGTAAAATATAATAGAAATTCGGTTGCTATTATAAACATATGCTCTTTCTAAATATTCTTTTAACTAGGTTCGTTTTTGTTTCTATTGTTTATATGAGCACGCAACTAGGCAGTTGTCTGCATTCGGTTTGTTCGTCAAAGACAATAGTGTTACATTAAACTACATGCTACTTGTTTTACCATTTGTTTTAAAGCTGGTGAAATTAACAATTTAGCTACTTAACTATAGTACTATGAAACTTGGTTACGAAATTTTTATTGCATGTTTCTTGAATAACTATTATCTTAATTAATTCTAGCAATTAGAAACATTAAATCCTAGCTGCCTTAATATAGTCCTATAATAAATTTTCTTCATTCCCTTCACGAGGCATATTCTTCAGTGTGTTTATAACTATTATTACAGTATTACATTATTCTCTACCCGAATTTTGTATTATCAAGTTTTAAAACAATTAAAACAATGATTTCTTTAAAAATAGTCTTATATCATCCGCATACATACGCACATTATGCCACTCAGTTTTGCAGTTTTTTTTTTTCGTTGCTTAATGATATTCAAATTACAAACACATTTTAGAGCAAGGCATACAGGCTTTTTTTTTTTTTTTGTTGTTGTATCAGCTGCTGCTTTGTCATGCACTTTCCTTATTACATTACAGTGTAATTTTTTTTTTCAAACATTTCATTACGATCCTACATTATCAATTTATTTTTGTTATGGTTCATTGTTGTTTAATCTAAAATTCGCCTTCCTTTTTTGAATTTTTGAAGAGTATTTTAAATTCAATTGAAAAAAGGTTACAAGTTATTTTTTTTTTCCCAAACTAAAAAGAGAAAGAAAGAATCACACCATTGAAAATAGAAAAAAATAACAATGAACAATGATTCCGCCAAATATTAAAAAGCCACGAAAAAATTTTTTTTCAAAAAAATAAGTATAATATACTGCCACTAAATAAAACATAATAATCCTCAGCGAGGATAAAATGATCTGTTTCCCCAGTTTTTGAAAAAACCAATTTCTTATTTTCTCTACACAACGAATTAATTATATAATTATCTTGTTTACACGAGAATTCTCATACAGTCCCTTCTCCCCTCTCCCTTACGAACCCATTATCATCCTTCCTCGTTCCTCTCCTCCTCTTCTTTCCACTCTCCAATGGGTTCAACAAAATCTTTTCGGTATGAAGTTCTCGTGTATCCCCAAGCTCAACCGAATGCAATGACTTCCTCCAATTCGGTTTCTCAGCCATCCTTGCAAACACAATTTCAAAGGTTTACATGTGACAGGGAAAATATGCAGCAATATTGGATTCCTGAGGGTTTCTATCCCGTTCTAGTTCCTCGTGCTTGCTTACAGTCTAGCTTATCTGCTGCAAATAATGACAATACTCGGCAAATAATGACTACATCCGCTTCAGCCGGTAATGCTCAAATGTTATCTAATAGTTCTTCTAATGTTAATGTACCTTCAAGGCCGCTTCAACCAAGGACTGCCGCTACTACCCCTAATATAATTATTGATGGTAGTGGTGTGATGACTTCACAACCCATGAAAAGACGTCCTGCAAAAGACCAGATCATTGCTCCTAGGTTACCTCCAAGGTCATTAAATGCTCAAGCGCTCTATTACTTTCAAAAACGTAGGGAATTAATAGAAAATAGATCTTTTATCACTTCTACAAATGGTTCAAATGTTTCGCTGGGTGCTGTTCCTAATCATCCTTCAAAGACTATTGAACAAATGTGGCAAGAAGAACCAGACAATGTAAAAAGACATTACGATCGACTTGCTCTACGAATAAAAATTGAACAAGCTCTTTTATCAAGGGCACACAATAACAAAAAACGTTATCAACCATATAATATAGACCGAAATGTCACCTCTTTGGAAGGTTCTTCATCACGTGTTTCTCGTTCACGTCATTTGCAGAGTACAATGATGAACTCTATGAACATTACGAATAATAACAACTGCAGTTCTTTAAATAGAAGCTTTGATGCTTCATTAACAGATAACCTTAACGATAATGCGTGTAATGCCTTACCTCCTTCCTCACAAGGCTTTACACAAAGTCACGTGTTAAATTTGGATACTTCCCCGGTTTCTTCCTGCCGGAGTGTTCGAAACAAGGATGCTAGTAACATTGTAGGAAATGATTGCACATCTTCGTCCGAAAACGAAGAATCCGACGAAATCTTCGATTCCCACAACGACTTTATGAACGCCGACAATCCGTACGATTCTCCGATATCCTCGCCATCTTCCTCGCCAAAAATTTCCGTAACCAAAACAAACGATAATGATATTGACAACGATAACTCAAACACGGATTGGATGACGCGTTCCGACGATACCTTTTTACAATAATAGCGACGCCAAATACGACGAAGACGACAACGAAGGCCTCGACTATTAAACGAATTACGTATTTTTACACATCATTAAGATGACAATCGCTCGTTCATCATCTTTTTTTTTCTTTTTTAAAATCCTAAGATAAATCGCCGAAATTTATTCCTTTATTATAACGCGTCAAAACGAGAGTTACTTTAATCTAACAATAACATCACACGTCACGTCAAAAAAACAACGGAACTTTTTTTTTTTGAACAATAACAAAAAACATTCGAAATTCATCTATGCCAAAATTCGGAATCTATATCAGGGTTTTTTTTTCGAAAAACCTCTTTTCGAGGGAATTAGAGAGCAAAGAATATTATTATGATTATTATTTTGTTCTGCTGCCATTCCATACTCGTTGACAATAGTGCCGCAAATGAAAAACAAAAAACCTATCAACCTTCGATTATATTATATATATAATTTTCTTTGTAAATTTTTTTTTAGACTTTTTTCGATATAATATATGTACATTTTTTTACAACAAGTAAAAAGTGTATACTTTTGTACATAATTTACAGCTATTTCCTTTTTTAAAGAAAAAAAAAACACAAAAAGAAATCACCTAATTCTCGTTTTTCCTTACACAAAAAAAAAAAAAAAAAAAAAAAAAAAAACTCTGCAATTTTATTATCAAAAAAAAAAAAACAAGATTCTCCCTGTGGGAGGGGGGAAAAGAAAAAAATAAATAATATAAAAACAAAAGAGAAGACGGGAGAGTAAATAATCTTTAAAAACATAAAATTAAAAACAAATCACGATTTATATATGTGTATATACCATGTAAAATATAGAAACTCCTTTTATTTTTCTGTATAGTCTTGTTTCTTGAATTTTTTTCAAGTTTTTTTCTCTGAATATTTTCCTTTTTCTAAAAAAAAATATAAAAAAGATAAAAATAAATAAAAATCAAGAAAACTTCTTTAGTCAAAAAAAATAGTATTGAGTGCAGTGTATGACAATTGTTCAATGTTTAATTTTTTTTTCATGTTAAAATATTAGTAAATACTTGTTTCGGGACATAGTAGTATCAGAATTAGAGATGCCGTAGAATCGTCCCAATGAAGTCGAATGATAATTGTCACATGGCTGTAACTTGCCGTAACTGTAGTAAGTAACATAGTAAAGTTACGACATTATAACCGTAACTTTACTTATTATTTACTATAGTTACGGCATTCGACAACTATCATTCAACTTCATTGGGACGATTCTACGGCATCACTAATCAGAATGAAAGTATTCGAATAGTATCGGTATTAAAATCTGCAATTTGTTAGGCTAAATACCGTATTTCCCCGACATGTGTACCCGGGGTATTTCCAAAGGTATTTCCCCAGCCATTTTAGTACCCGGGTACGAGTCTTCGATGTTTTTGGTGTTTTATTATTATATGCCGGGTACATAAGTATAATACTCCCATACTTATATACCCGGGTATAAATCAAAATTTGGCACTCTAAATTGCTGCAGATATACTTTTTATAACAATATTTACTCAATTAATATTTTTGCTTCTCTAAATCTAACCCATAATTTGTATTTAAATATTACAACACATAAATTAAAGGCTTTAATACTGTTATCAAAAGGAAAATTTAGTAAAATTATTATTTTTATAATAATATTACCATTGCAAGTATAACTAAAATCAAAAATTCTAACAAATCTAATTTATTTTTTTGTTACTACTGGATTAATTTTAAAAATTTAGGTAAAGAAATTACTATTTTTTTTGATGTTAAGGCGACCTCTTGGTCGCTTTCCTTTTATTTGATTATTGTCAACTTTACAGTATAATATATACCAGTGTTGGTGTAGTGCCTTACCGAATACTTACCGTATTTCTGCGACATGTGTACCCAGGGTTATAGATGGGCGTGAAATTATATTTTAATTTTTTGATATTTCAACAGTTGAAATTATAATTCGACTGTTGAAACCGAATTTATTTTTAGTAGTTGAAATTAATTCAACTGTAGAAATTAATTTAACTGCCGAAATTAATTTTAACTGCCGAAATTAATTTCAACATTTGAATTAATTCGACCGTTGAAATTAATTCGACTGT